AGAGAAGGAAGGAAGGAAGGTCATACTAGTTAGTGACAAATGGAATAATACATGGGCTGCAAAGTGTTTTGGTGAGAATGGTTGATGTTTCTAATTTGCCTCTGACTTTACTTCATAATCACACGATCTTTGGTTGACTTTGAATCCATAGTTTAGTAGTTCATGTAAAGAAGTGGTAGGAAGAGGAAGGTTGGTATTGCCCCTGGGTGGTGGGACCTTTTCCAGTGAATTTTGCTTTTGTCTTATTTCAGATGAATTGGATGCTGCCCTCGTTCCCTTTGTGAACTTCAGTTGTGGGGCTTTTGCTGGCATTCTGGCATCCTTGGTAACTCAGCCCGCAGATGTTGTCAAAACACACATGCAGCTGTCACCGGAGAAATTTCGGAGGATTGACCAAACTGTCACAGTCATTTTCAAAGTAAGGCTGAGCTAGCTCATCAGTCATTGCTGGGTGTCTGCATCTGGCCTCTGATCTGGAGGAGAATCAGTTTGCTCGTATCAAAGTGAGAACAGGAATACTTATACCCCATGCCTTACAGGGTTATGAGAGAAAAGTGCTTTGCAAATTAAAGCTCTCCAAAGGTGGGAAAAGCTATTATTGCTTTTAGGGCTAGGAATACATTCGGGTGAAGAGTACGGGCCAAGACATTGCCCAGGTCTAGTTTATGGTTAATATCCAGAGGGTTGTTCAGATGTCAAGGTAATGGGGTGTCCCAAAAGTCTTAGCACTAACATGTATGGGCCACCCTGTATAGTATAGGCAGCCATATTCTCCCGCTAAAGGATCATAGACTTAGAGCTAAAAGGGGCCTTAGCAGTTAGACCTTAGATTAGACCTATCTAACCCAACCCCCTCATTTTACAGATGAGGAAACTGAGACTCAGGTTAAGTGATTTGCCCAGCATCACATGGCTGGAAAGTATCTGAGAATCCATTGTTTAGGCACTCATCTAGTATTCTGTCCACTGTGGCATCCTCTCATATTGCTTGTAGAATTTTGCTCTTAACCTGAATTCTTCCTTCTTGCAGGATTATGGGCTAGTCGGCTTCTTCCATGGTGGTGTTCCCCGTGCCCTTAGACGAACTCTGATGGCAGCGATGGCATGGACAGTCTATGAAGGGATGATGGCTAAGATGGGTCTGAAGTCCTGAAAGAATGGAAGGAGAAAGGATGGAATCAGCCTATTTCCACCACCCTGTCCCCATTGAATGATGATGCTGTCTGTCCATTTTGGGCAAAAATGATGTTTCTAATCCAGAGGTCCAGGCAGAATTGATTCACTTTCTGCAGTCAGTATACAAGAAATGGAAGTATTTGACCATTTGAAGCATTCCAAGGGGCCCATCTTGCCAGTAAACTGACTTTGGGTTGGGGATGGGTGAAGGTTTTTGTATACCTTGCAAATCTACCTGTTCAAGGCACGTGGTATCCAGAAAAAATGTCTCTGTGGAATAATCCTACTTGAGCCACCTGTGTGCATCAGGATGGCCTTTTGCGTAAGTCAGTTGGAGAAGCACTTGTGATTGTATAGTCAGGCCCATGTCCTGAGCTGAGGAGAATTTCTTTGAATTGCAATTTTAATTTATTGAGGGTCTGATGAGTAGACAAAAGACCCTTACCGTAGCCAGTTTTGGTTTTTGGCAAACTATAAGGGAGAAAAGAAACCCTTATTTTCATTGAGTCCTCAATCCTTGTTCTGAAGGATGGATCAGTTTGGTTTCCTGCTTGTTCCCCGTCAAGTCAGTTCACTTCTGTTTTGGCTTAGAAAGAACATGTTATTTCTGCCAAGCTCCAAGCTAGTTCAACAAGCCGCTTTGACGTTTTTCAGCAGCTAAGGTGGGGATGTATGAAATCAAGCACCTTGTCATTCACATTATTGAAAGCTGTTTAGACTACTTAGTTCGTATTGTCCCTTGCCGTAGAATGATACAGTTCCATTGGGAAGGCAGGCATCCTTTTAATCTAGTACTTGTTGTAGTGAAAACTGCCTTCTGACTCCCTTTCAGAATAGGAAAACTTTCTGTGTTCTCTGCTCTGAATTTGCCAAAGAAGTAGACCCAAAGACCCTTTTCAAGAGGGAAGGTATAAAGACTCAGTATTGTTGGTCTAGAAGCATCTTAGGGGAGGCTCTCTGAACGAACGACCCTTTCTCCAGTGCCAGGGAAGACTCAGAGCTGCTTTTGCAGATTTCCCCAAAGGCTTAACTCAGGGAGTTTCCCAAACTTGGGGTATTAAAGGGGACACAGACAACCAAGTTTACTTATTCAGAGGTTATATCACTTACAATTTTCTATTGTGTTTCATGTTAAAATACCTTTCCCTGATGGATAAGTATTGGGGGGGCGGTGAGGGGTGGAGAAAAATGTCTTTTTCCATCTAAGGACACAGATGCATTATTTTGTCATATCCCCTAACTTCACACAAGCTGCTATATCTGTGTTCCTTTCTGTGCTGTGTCAATAGGAGAGTAGGAACAGGCCCAGCTCTTGAGGAATCTGAAAGGCAAGGCAGATTTTGGTTTAGGTTTTTAAAGAAAAAGTAATTTGCCCTTAAGATGGCACTTCATTTTTGGAATAATTTGGATGAAGCCAACTTAAAGTGGTTAGGGATAGGATGTACCATGATTCTAATTTTGGCAAATGTGATGCATCCTTTGGGTCACTGAGAGATTATAGAGTTATTTATTACACTTTTTTTAGGCCTACGTTAAATGTACCTCTTGTAATCTAGTAGTTACTTAATGGGTCTTCACTTCTGTTTCAAGAAGCAATGCTCCAATTTGCTTCGAAGCTGATTTGACCTGGCTCATTATGGTGAAGTTCTTCAAGCCTTGTAACTGATATTTTTACATCCCAAGAAAGGAAGAAAGCTGAGATTTTAATTTCTAAACCTTGGAAATCTAATTTGTATTTCTCCAATGCGTGTGATTTCAAAACTGGTGAAATGTAACTGACTAAATACAGTCTTAACTCCATATGTTGTTCATGTTTGTGGCATTACATCAAAATAAAACCTAATAGAAATGAGAGAAATTGGAAACTTTGTGGGTCTGTAGTCTGGGCAGGTGGCTAGGTCTCTGATTCTCTGTTTCTCCTCTTATCCACAAAACCTTCATTTCATTAGCCAGTTACTTGGCTAATGAAATTTATCAGTTTTATGATTGGAAATGATTCATCTCTTCTTTCATGATTCTCAACAAGAGCAGAAAATCAGTAAGGTTCAGCATTAGTATCTTTTTTTTTTTTTTTTGTAGAATCTTAGCCACATTAAAGAAGGAAAAGAAGAAATTGACTTATGAACAGTAAAGTGCCCCTGTCTATAGATGGTGCTATATAGAAAATAGCTAGGATTCAGCATTTTCAGAACTTAGAAGCCCTGGAAAGATGATGGCTACACTTGCCTTTCACAAGGCCTCATCCTACTTTGGCGATTATTGACCCCAATTATACCTCTCATCAGAGGCATGAGAGGAGCAGCCAATGAGAACGACTGCCATCAGTATTTTAAAGAGAAGGGACTTAGGCTGCCGGTGAGTGGATTTTTCCCCTTGCTGTACAAATTAAACACCTTCTTGCAGATAAATGGTGATATTTGTTAATCAGAAAGAATTCCTTTAAGTGCTTGTTTGGGTATTACAGACCAAATCATCAGAAAGTGAGGTTTTCATTTCTAAACCTCTGCTTATACTGGATGAGTTGATTTCCCTTAATGGAGACATCTTGCACACATAACTGTAGCTTTACGCTGGGACCCATCCAAGATCTGAAAACTGAATTGTTCTCAAGGATTGCAAACACCATTGCATTTTCTCCCTCAATTCCCTCATTGTATTTTAGCACTAAAATTTTGAGAGAGGAAATGGGCTCAGTAGAGGAGAACTGGAGACTTTTTTAGCATGTTGGTATCTCTAGCGGAAACATTTGATAAAATTGTAGGTAGACATAAGAAAAGAGCTGTAGATGATTTAGGTGGGAGAGCTACAGGCTTCATGCTAAACTAACCATGTCTTGTGTATTTTGGCCACTTTGGGATCTGGGGAGGAATCCCAGGGAAAGGTAGGAAGGCTTCCAGTCCCCAGTGGTGTTAAGTGGGGTTTGCTTCTCTCCCCAGGAGGCCTTTGTATAGCCTTTTCTTTGGGGTGCATGCCTTGCCCCACCCCTTGGTAGTCACCCAGGGCTCTGGCCACTGGAGATGATCTAGGCAAGACGTGCCCGAAGAAGTCAACTTCACTCCAGCTCTGGGTTGTACCTGACGTCTTTCTTGAACTCATTGAGGTTGGAATTTTGTTCTTAATGCAGGTTGTTGGTGTGATTGGAGATGATGTGTATGAACTACTATGTGCTCAGATTTTTGAAGCTGTGTTATTTTTTCTCTGACATCCTTCTGGCTCATCTCAGCCTGGTGGGGGTGGGGCTGGGGTGGGTGGAATGGTCCAACATTTTACACACCTTTTAGTTTACTTCTCACTGTTCATGTGGGCCCAGGGTCAACACATGAGGTCAGTAACAGGCCTCAAAATACCTGGTAGCAGGATTCAATAGTCTTGCTTTGGATCTAGAGGCCTGCACAGATATTTAGGAATCAGATAATTTTTTTCAACTTTTGAGAAAAAAAAAACAGTAGGAAGAGGAGCGGGCTGCCATAACTCCATGACCTGCCCTTTCCTGCCCTTTCCCCAGAGATCAACCCTAAACTTGAACAGTTTTATGTGCACCAAAGGAAAAGGTGTTTCAACTTCCATAGAATTTTGAAGCATGAGCAAATAACGTGATTTAGGATACTTCCGAATTTCACACCCAGTTTTCTGGGTCTCTAGCACTTCCCCACAGAATTCAATAGTGTTTGTTTCCATACTTTTTTTTTTTCTCTGCCATGTATGGCAAGCCTCAAGATTCGGAAGTTCAGATCTTAACAAATGAGTAGAAGAATTTGTCCACCAAATGAAAGGTTTTTTAAATTAAAATGGTTTTTTTTGGGGGGGGGGAGTTAGACAATGGGGTTAAGTGACTTGTCCAGGGTCATACAGCTAGTGTTATGTATCTGAGGCTGGATTTGAACTTAGGTCCTCCTGAATCCAAGGCTGGTGCTCTATCCACTGCGCCACCTAGCTGCCCTAAATTAAAAAGGTTTTGCATAAACAAAGCCAATGCAACCACGGTTATAGGGGAAGCAGAAAGCTGGGAAACAATTTTTACAGCCAGTGTCTCTGATAAAGGCCTCATTTCTAAAATATATGGAGAACTGAGTCAAATTTATAAGAATGCAAGGCATTCCCCAATTGATAAATGATCAACGGATATGAATAGGCAGTTTTCAGAGGAAGAAATTAAAGCTACCTATGGTCATAAAAAAAGTGCTCTAAATCAGTATTGATTAGAGAAATATGAATCAAAACAACTCGGAGATACCACATCACATCTATCAGACTGGCTAACGTGACAAAACAGGAAAATGATAACTGTTAGAGAAGATGTGGGAAAATTGGAACACTAATGCATTGTTGGTGGAGTTGTGAACTGATCCAGCTATTCTGGACAGCAATTTGGAACTATGCCCAAAGGGCTATAAAATTGTGCATAACCTTTGACCCAGCAATACCACTTCTAGGTCTGTATTCCAAAGAGATCATACAAAACAGGAAAAGGACCCACAAGTACAAAAATATTTATAGCAACTCTTTGTGGTGGCAAAGAATTGGAAATTGAAGGGATGATCATCAATTGGGGAATGGTTGAACAAGTTATGTTATGTGAATGTAATGGAATACTCTTGTGCTATGAGAAATGATGAGCTGGCTGACATCAGAAAAGCCTGGGAAGACTTAAATGAACTGATGCTGAGTGAAATGAGCAGAACCAGGAGAATGTTGTACACAGTAACAGCCACATTGTGTGATTACTGACTTTGATAGACATAGCTCTTCTCAGCAATGCAAAGATCTAATACAACTCCAAAACACTTACGATGGAAAATGCTATCCACATCCAGAGAGTTGGAATGCAGATCTAAGCATACTACTTGCTCTTTTTTTTCTCTTCTGTTTCGTTTTGTTTCTTCTTTCTTGTGGTTCCTATTGGTTCTAATTCTTCTTTACAATATGATTAATGTGAAAATATGTTTAATAGGAATGTATATGTAGAGCCTATATCAGATTACATGCCGTCTTCGGGAGGAAGGTGGGGAGGAAGAGGGAGAGACAATTCATATAAGGGGCTGGAAGGGAGAAGAAATTCTGGAGAACAAGGAATGGGATTGGGAATGGCCTGGTGGTCAAGGCCAGGGCCTCACCAGTCAGAAGAGAAGGCTGTAGGGCAGAGGCATCACTAGGGGGAGAAGGCTTCCAGGGAAAGGAAATGAGAAATGATTTAACATGTGTCAGCAACACTTTGCCTCTTTGGAGAGTTAACTCTAGATCTAGGAGTCAAGCAGCAGGAAAAGGACTGAGCTGCCACCACCCATCTTGCCATCTTTTTTCCTCTCCCCTAATAATCCAGGCTCTGGCCAGAATTAGACTCCTTCTCAAGGACATGATTCTGCTCCCTTTCTGCTTTCCAAACTGAGGCTAGCTAGGAATCCCAGTGTATCCTTCACCCTCCAGCTCATATTTAACTGTTAATTTAATTTAACTGTTTCTATTCCTGACAGCATTGTACATTGTCTAGGAAGACCTTGAGCTCTGTATTGCTTGTGTAATTCATGAAGAACATGTCTATAATTGGAAGGAACATTCTATTCAGAAGAATACTAATATTTGGATGAAGGAAGAGTAATCTCAAAGGGTAGTCTTATTAGGAGATCTGTGAGGGGGCAGCTAGGTGATGCAGTGGATAAAGCACCAGCCCTGAAGTCAGGAGGACCTGAGTTCAAATCTGACCTCAGACCAAACACTTGACACTAGCTGTGTGACCCTGGGCAAGTCACTTAACCCCAACTGCCTTTAAAAAAAATCTGTGAATATGAAACATAACTTTAATTTCTCATTCATCTGCTTCTATCCATGGGATGTGGAGGGCAAAGGGATAGACAGTGCAAAGATGGGGGCCAACTTGGAGGCCCAATAATACCAGTCAGAACTTGGTGTTATGCAAAGGGTTTTTTTTAAAGATCTGGTTTTGCCGCCCCCCCCCCAATGCCCTAAGGGACAGGGGGACCTATTTGTAACAAAAGGAAAGAGCAGTGGATATGCAGCCTAGAAATCTGGAGTAGGCTACTATTTATGGGACCATAGATCTATAGTCCAGCTTGCTCATTTTAGAAATGGGGAAACTGAGGCTAAAGAAGTTCAAGTACCTTTGCCCAAGGCCTCAAAGGTAACATATGACATAGGTGTGATTTAAACATAGGTCCTCTGATTCCAGAACTGATGGTCTTTGCCAGGTGCTCTCCTGCCTCCGTCAAGGAAGTTACAAAAAGTGGATAATAAACCCCCCACTAGAACCTATGTGAAGACTTCATTGAATGGTGAAGGCAGGAACACCAAGTCATACTTGCCGAGTGTCCACAGAAAAGTGGTCTGGCTCAGATTAGGTACTGATGAAAGATAACGTTGAACAGGTAGGAAGGACCCACATTATAGAAGGCCTTAAAAGCCAGATTAAGGAGTTGAGACTTTATTCAATGAGCCTAGGGATGGTTATTTATTAGGGATCATAGAACAGTCCTACTCTCACATTTTTGCTCATTTTGTAGATGAAACCCAAGGACATTAAATGACTTGCCCTGGGTTGCATAGTTTTTGTTGTTGTTGTTTTTGAGGCAATGGGGTTAAGTGACTTGCCCAGGGTCACTCAGTTAGTAAGTGTCTGAGGAGGGACTTAAACTCAGAAATTTGATCTCAGGTCCTCCTGACTGGAGGGCTAGTATTTTATCCACTGCACCACCTACCTGTCCCTTCAGGTATTCCTTTCAACTGAGAATTCAAACCCAGGGTCCTCTCCAAATTCCTGAAAGTGACCATCTCAGAGGGTAAGGGACCTGAGAGGTCATCACTTAGGTTTGGATCTCCTTTGCACAGAGCATCCCTTGATGACACTGATGAGCACCATTTGCTTATTTCATGCCTCACTTCATGAAATTTGTTAATTTCATCTGCCACATTCTATAATTTGATTTTGGAATTCTGTCACTTTGTGTTGTGAATTCTTCCAAAATAAAATTTTTTTCCAGTTAGCAAAATGGGAGTTGTTTCAGGGAGGTGGGTACTTGAGACAACTCTGATGATATAAGAAGCTGAAGATGTCAGTAAAAATATTTTTCAAAATGCTGTGTGACCACAAGGGTAAAAGCAAGCTGAGAAAAATCACAGCAAGTGAGTAGTGCTTGGTTGAGTTAGGATTTGAAGAGCGGGTAAAATTTGGATATTCTGAGGGATTCTCGAATCCCTTAATGGCCAGATTAATGACAGAGATTCATTCTACAGATTTGTCCCAAATCCTCAGTGTAATAGTTAGAAGTACCGGAATTTAGAATGGGAGATAGAAGGGGGTGGGTGTAGAGGAGGAGAGTGGAGACGGAAAGAGGAGGTAGGAAAAGAAAGGGGATGGAGAGATGAAGGTGAGAGAGGCGAGGAGAGGGAGACAAGACGGACAGGGGAAAGAAAGGGTGGGGAGAGAAGACGAGAAAGAGAAAGGGGGGAGAAAAGGGAGGAGAGACAGAGACAGAGACGGACACAGACAGACAGAGACAGAGACAGACACAGAGGGACGGAGGAGAGACAAACCCGCAGCAGAAGCACGGACTTCGGGACAGAAGGATAGCCCCTGGAGGAAAGCAGAGAGAGAAGCAGAAGGATTCCTCGAAGCCCATTCCCACCCTGGGGCAGTGTCCCTGCTGGCCCGCCCCTCCTCCCTGCCCCTCCTCCCCGCCCCTCCTCCCCGCTCCTCCTCCCCGCCCCTGGACGACCGGCCCCAGGTCTTTGGCCGACGAGCATGTCCAGGAAGTCCCCGGGAGGCTCGTTTCACTTCAGCTGCCGACGCCCGCTTGTTCTGGGGTGCACCCACTCGCTCTCCTCCTGCCCCAGCCCGCAGACTCGGAGGTCCCTTCCTGACCGTGGAGACCCTCAAGAACAGGGTGGTGAGCAAATGGGACAATGTGACCCAGGCCGAGCTGGAGCGGCTCAAGGTTTCCCTGAAGGACTGCGAGGAGGAGCCCAGACTCCTGACGCCTGCCAAGACAGGCAGTGAGATGGATGCGCTTTGTCGAGTACCCGCCCCACTGGTTCTACTTCCTGAGGTTCCTGCAGACAGGCGGTAAGAACCTGCTAGACGAGTGGTAAGAGGTGGGACTGCACGGTCTGGGCTCCCCTCCTCCTGGGGAGGAGTGTCCCACCCTTCAGACTTCCCCTGCACTGCTTCTTACTCCACCCCACGCGCCCATAAGAATAATCAAGTTTGACAGTACTTAAGTTCTCCAAATCATCTCAATGTGGAGTCCCACTAGACCCCTGGTAAGCTAAGCTACTGCTCCAGGTATTCTTCGCTCCATTTTTTTTTTTTTTTTTTAACAGAGGAGCAAACCGAGGCGTAGAGGTGAAAGACTTTCATGTTTCTGGTCCTGCAGCTCATATGCCAGCCAGCTGAACTTGCACAGCTAGTGAGAGTCAGATGCTGTGTTGGAATCCAGAGTTCTACTTGTCTCACATCACCTTCCTACTTCACTCCCAGGTGTCACCCACAAAGAAAAGGTGGAGAGAGTTTCAAAAGATCAGGGGCCTAGATGGGCATTTGGATCTTCGGTTAAAAAGATGAGGACTTGAAATAACCAGGAAATAAACAGGAAGCCAAATGGGGAAACTGATACTTATAGAGGTTACTTGACTTGTCCAAGGTCACCTGGGGAGGTAGGACCAAATATGAGGTCTTCTGACTTCTGAACCAGGGCCCTTTTTAGAGTGCCAGGCCTCCCAAGTGCTGAGACCAAAAACATCAAAAGATTGAAGAATCATTTTGATAACTCCATAAATGGTTATTCAGGAGACATCTCCCCACCTCCCTTTCCATTCCAAACCAACAGGTATTTAGTGAGATTCCCTTTATTCAGCTATATGCTAGGCAGGGTGCTAGATACCTGAAGGATGTTATAATCCATCTGATCCTTGGAGTGGATCTCTAATCTTTTGAGATCATTGGCATGAAAGATCTCCAACAGTACATCCAATGTGATGAAGTGTGTGGTATATATTACATGTGTTTGGCATATAATATGAATTCCAGACTGTATATTGTTGTTTGTATGTTGTGTCTGCCATTAGGATGGGAGCTTGTTGAGGACAGGCAGAGACTCTGTTTTTGCCTTCCTTTATATCTTGGGCGCTTAGCACCGTGCTTGGCACAAAGGAAGGGCTTCCTGCTTGCTGACCATAAGAAAGGACCTTGACAAAGTAAGTGGTCCTTGCCAGCTTGCTTCACTCATTCAGTATGCACTTACTATGTGCTAGGTGCTGGGGATACAAAGCTAAAACCAATTTAGCTCTTGCCTTCAAGGAGCTTACACTCTAAGGAAGACAACATATACAGAGAAAATTAAATGAAAATATACAAAATCATTTCTGAGGTGACACTAGCAACTGGGGGATTAGGATAGGGAGGGGTGGTGTTATTCAGGGGACTTTTCCCCACTTCCCCCTCAATTACAGAGCAACAAATGAGATTCGCTTTGGTCAGCTAAGCAAGGTAGGGATTCTGTTAAGCAGAAGGACTGAATAAGTCCAGGGAGAAAGCCTGTGCAAAGACCCAGAGAGAAGATGGAGTCTTGGATAAGGGCCAAGCAGGCCACTGTGGCTGTATGGAGTGGTGGGTACAAAAGTTGTTATTGTTTTCATTTTATATGTGAAGAAACTGAGTCTCAGGTGAAGGGACTTGCCTCCGATCACCCAGCTAATAATTGCCAGTGGTGGGATTCAAAGTGGGTTTGTCCTGACTCCAAGTCCAATAGTATAGACAATGTACCATGCCACCCCTTGGGTAAGCATCTGGGTTGGGCTTTAAAAGATAGAAATTGAGTAGAGGAGGAGCAGGAGGGAAGAGACCTCAGGTTTAGGTAACAGCATGAGCAAAAGCAGGGAGGTGGGAGAGTGTAGCAGGGTTTGCAGAGAATGGCCCAATTAGTGTGTAATGCAGGGTCCAAGCCCCAGAGTCAGGAGATGAAGCTGGAAAGGTGCCAGATTGTGGAAGAGGATTGGATCTCAAAACTCAGATTAGTGTTGGTGGACTCTGTTTTTGAAGGGCTTTCCCTTTCTGAGTTATCAACAAGTCTAGGCAGAAGAGTCTTGTTTGAGCACGAGCTGCTGAGCTGTCTGAGCATGCGCAGTCAGGGTTGCAGGGTCTAAGGGAGACTGTTTCAGGGACCTGTCATTAGCCCCACAGCACTGTGGGATCCTGGAGTCCCAGCTTGATGAAAGAAGTCAGAGGAGCTTTGTGCCCACGTTCAGCAGCCCACGTGTTCAAAGTACTTCCAGGTTTACAAAGGACTTTTCTCACAACCACCCCGATAATACAAATATTATCCTTTCCTTCTGAGAGGTGAGCATCCCAGGGGTCAAGTCACTAGCCCAAGGTCAATAATGCTAAGTAGCAGAGCCTGCTGCCTTGGTGGGGATTGTTACATTGTCAGTACAAACATTTACACTTCAAATGAGGACTTGATTAATTGTTTGTTGATTGTCTAGACTTAAGAAAGTGATGGAGAAAATATTAGTAATGCAGGTTATATAGTAGTTACATAGTAGTTCAGGGAATAATCATCCCCCCCCAAATCTATACCCCCTCCCCAAGCTGGTTGTTAAACATATTTCCCAGCATGCCCCTTGAACCAAACATGCCCTTTTCATAACAGACTTTAGACTTTCTCAGGTTGGAGATGCAGCAGTAGACTTGGTAAATCAAACTTTATCAGAATACATATGGGTGAGGAGCCAATCCTTATTCTGCTTGGTCCCAGGCAGCAAAATAAGGTTATCGGTAGGGGTCTCGAAAGGCTTGATGTAAGGGGAAATTTCCTAACAATTAGAGCTGTCCAGAAATGGCATGAACAGCCTCCATGAGTCTTCCCCTCACTGGCGGACAGTGTGTGTGTGTGTGTGTGAGGTGGGTGTCTTCACCAGGAGACTAGCCCTTGTGTCAGGGATGTTGTAGAAGGAGATTCTTGGTCAGGGTTGATTGTAGTAGAGGGCTTCTTGGCTGTTGTTCAACCCTGCAGTTTTGGGAAAAAGGTAAGTCCAGGGTTGGCATATAAGAAAAGAGTCACGTGAACATTAGGCTCTGAGCTTTAACATTGGGAATCAAACTAGGATTACATCAGGGGAGAAGAAAACCTTTTGATGGGAGCCTTATTTTCCCTTTTACTTCCTGATTTATGCCTTTGATTTCCCTCCATCCCCCTCTCCCCACTATCCTGGGGAGGGCGTGATCCTTGTAGAATCTCCTTATTTTGTGGCAAGAAACATTTCCCATTTTGAGGAATTGTAAACAGCATCTGTCACGGCAGCAAAGACAGTTATGAGCAAGCCCAGCTGGACTGTATTTCCAACCTCCAGTTCTCCTTCCTCATCTCCACCTCCTGGCTTCCTGTAAGTGTTTGCATGTTGCCTCCTCTAGTTAGAGATGAGCTCCTTGAGGGCAAGGACTGTCTTTTACCTTTCTTTGTATCCTCAGAGCTTACTGCAGTGCCTGGCACTTAATAAATATTTGCTGATTTGACTCCAGTTTTAAACCATCCCATTGTCAAGTTAAAGAAAGCTAAACACTAAATTTGTACCTAAGAAAATACAAGTTGCTTCTCTTTATTTTTTTCCACCCATCCATTAATTCGTTTATGTGCTTATCAATTTGTCTGTCTATCCTCATTTTTTCTTTTGCTTACAATCCTGTATAGTCAGGCAAAATTTTTGGACAAAAGGCTCTGATTCTACCTATGTTTTTGGACTTCATGAAATTCATTTCTTCTGATGGTCAACTCTGTCTACTCTTACCTTGCCCCTGTGCCCCACAGACTTTCTGCATTTACATCTTTGGTTTACTTCTGCCCTGCCTTCTATCCTTCTCTCTTTTCTCCTTCCTCATGATTTACATAGAGCATCCAGCAAATAGACAAAAGCAGGAAAACATTCATAGAAATTAAAAAAAAAACCCAGGACTTAAAAATCAATCAACAAACATTTAGTAAGTTCCAACAGTGTGCCAGGCACTGTGCTAGATACTGAGGGTACAAAGACAAAAGTAAAATAGTTCCTGCCTTCAAGGAGCTTACATTCTGTTGAGGGAGACATGCACACAGAAATATATATACAAAATACAATCAGAATCACACACAGTGATTTTTGGAAGTAGGGCAATTGCAGATGCGGGAATCAGGAAAGGTCTCATGTGAAGATGGAGCTTGAACTGAATCTTGAGGGAGACCCAGGATTCTAAGAGGCAGAGATGAGGACAGAGTGTATGCCAGGTATAGTGGACAGTCGGTATAAGGGCTGAGAGTTGAGAGATAGAGGGTTATGTATGAGAAGCAGTAGGAAGGTCAATTTAGCTGGACTGGAGGGAACATGAAGGGAAATACTGTGTAGTAAGCCTATTGAGAAAAGGAGTGACATGGTCATACCTCTACTTCAGGAAAATCACTCTGGCTGGTATGTGGACAATAGGTAGGAGTGGGGAGAGACTTAAGGAAGGGAGATTTGACAAGGGGGCTGTTGTAATAGGCCAAGGGAGAGGCTGAACTAGTATAGAAGAGAAAGGGGCATGTGGAAGAGACGTCATGAAGATAGACATGATAACATTTGACAGCAGATTGAATTTGCGGAGTGAGAGTTGGGCATCATGCCAAAAGTATTGAGTGATTGGAAGGTTGGTGGTAGCCTCATCATAGGTAAGGAAGTTTGGAAGACAGGTATGTATAAGAGGAAAGACAACTGAGTTGTGCTTAGACATGGCTCTTATGCGATGTCTGCAGTATATCCACTTCAGAAGCAATTGGTGATACAGTACTTGAGGTGAAGAGAGAGGCCAGGGCCATATATGGAGATCTGGGAGTCATCTGTACCAGGCCCATGATGAAATCCATAGAAGCTAATGAAGTTACCAAATGAGAGAATAGTAGCTGTGGTAATCCACCAATTACAGAGGAAGAGAAGAGAGGAGAATCAGTTCCAGGACAGAGCCTTGGGTTATATCCACTGTAAGTGAACATAAATATGGATGATGGTCAAGCAAAGGACACTGAGAAAGAGCAGCCAGACAGGGAAGAGGAGACCCAAGATAGGCAGCTGGTGGCACAGTAGACAGAGCCCTGAGTCTGGAGTTCAGATCCAGCCTCAGACACTTACTAGTTGTGTGTTAACCTATTTGCCTCAATTTTGTCAACTCAAAAATGGGGATAAAATAGCAGATTAAAGCATACTATTTTCTTTTTTTTAGTTTGCTTTTTCTTTCTCATGTTTTTTTTTCCTTTCATAATATGACTGAAGTAGAACTATATTTAATATAATTGTAAATGTATAGCCTATATGAGATTGGATGCTGTGTTGGGGAGGAGGGAAGGGAGAAAGGGAGAAAAAATTTGGAACTCAAAATCTTATAAAAGTGAATGTCGAATACTATCTTTACATGTAATTGGAAAAATAAAATACTGCATAAAAAAGAACATTTTTTACTAATGTATAGCA